TTTTTTTTGCACTCTTGAACACAGATTTCCAAAGTATTAGGCTTGCTTCCTAACAACAGGACCCTGCTTTCTCTCCCTCACTGGTCTTAGGATAATGGAACCACAAAGGTGGTGTGAAGCTACTTTTGCTTCTCCACCTCTGGCAATGCTCCAAGTGCAGCACATGGATGGTTATCTCTGGGAGGTGATACCTCTTTGCATTACTTAGGGAGGTTGTGGAATCTCCTTCCTTTGAAGTTTTTAAGGTCAGGCTTGACAAAGCGTTTGCTGGGATGATTTAGTTTAGGATTGGTCCTGCTTTGAGTAGGGGGTTGGACTAGATGAGCTCCTGAGGTCCCTTCCAACCCTGATCTTCTATGATTCTCTGGAGACACAAATCCACAGTTTGAGAACTGCAAAACTAAGCGTCTCTGATGGTATCTTCTAGACTGAGCACTGAGTCCCATTGGGTAGATAGAATGATTAACCTAAATAATCTATACAGAAGCCCCTGAAACCCATAAGATTGGGTCCCTAATCCATGAACTATTGGAACTCATTTACAAACTTTTCTTAAACATTACATTAATATATTGTCTTATATGATAGAATTAAAATTTATAATCCCTGTTCCATGATGCAATATCTGAGCTATAATGTATCTTAATTAAAACTATTTTTAGATGAGTTTTCTCCTCAAAAAGCTTTTTATCAAAAAAATCCGATTTTAAATAAAAAAAAAAAGATTTTTAAATTTTTTTTTAAGTAATTGATTTTTATCCATCCTGCACATGGGTTGCTTTTTGGAGGTTTCCTTGCAACCATAAAGATTAAAGATTTAGGTTTTTTTAAAATGAAATCTGAGAATCTGGAGAACAAGATGACGTCTTAAAAGAGGTGATGGCATGGTGTACTTGTTCTTCTGAGTCACCAACTTGCGTCCTGTGTACTTTACAGGGACCTTTTAACATCCAAGTTGATTGACTTGTTAGAAACCACTCTACAAACTTAATAGTGATACTTTGTTGTCTGTTGATACTCCAATGAGTCTTATGTTGTCATCTTATGATTTCCACCGAAACCATCTTCATAGTAAACATAATTATTACTTTGGTGTTTTTTGATCATTCTGTATCCTTTTGTTTTAGTTCCCCCATTTTCTTTTAGCACCTCAGTTATTGTTCTCCTGCTCTGATATGTGGGTTTTAGTGGAGGGTGTATCAAGCATGCCTTGCACTGCATTCAGTAAGATCTGAAACTTCTTGATTGAGGTCTCTTCAGACCCTTATTTTACTGTGAAATCCACTGTTTACCATGTCTGATGATGACTGTAGATCCTTCGCTATTGTCAAGGTTGGTGTGGATTCAGATGCCCAAGACTGTGCCCCTCCAGCTTAAAGATATTATTGTTGGTTTGCGGTTTGTGAAGCATTATTCCTCAAGACTTTTCTTCTCTCAGAGTAGCTATTGTATTTTTGTAGCATGAAATTTTTCAACAATCTATTATTTTAGGATTCATAAGTACATTGCTAGGTCTGGAGCCAGTTCAAAACACATCATCCATCTTGCACAGTAAATTTCCACTCAACGTTATTTCTAATAAGACAGTAATAAGTCTTAGATGAAGAGGTGATGCATTGAACCTTCAGCACTACTTGTACAACGCTATCATTTTTAGAGCAGAATTTAAGACATTCCTTATGCATTGACTGCATAAAACAAAAAATTTTAAAATAATTTTTTTGGGAGAATATTTTTTCAGAAGCACAAAATCTCTACCATCTATTTTCTTATTCATCCTCCCTAAAGAACAGATTCTGCCATGCTTTTTCATATTGAAAAGTACCTTATTCCTTGAGTCAACACCCCTGTTTTCAGTGGGATTACTTGTAAAGTAAGGTACTACTACTCACTGTAAGAGTGACAGAATATGGCCCTGAATGTTCATTCAATCCTTTTTATAACATTTTCAGATATCACTAATGCCTCTAGCAGGGGAGTTGAAGTCTTCAGGCTCAAATCTGCATTGTGCTCATCATCTTGCAGAATTGTTCTCAGCTATATATTAAGCTCTACATTAGCTTGTTACACACAGTGAATGTATAAAGTATTATGGTTACTGGCTTTTCTGTGAAGCTTTTTGGTGCTTTAATGAGTTATGCTACACGTTCCAAGAACTGATATGTCTCCAGAGAGATCAACATCAGTCTTCTTATTTCCAACAGAGGAAAAGAACTCCACTCTAATGAAGAAGAACTGACACAGTAATGATGCTTCAAAAGTTTCTTGAAATTTCAGAGAATCTGGAATAGAATATCTTCAGCCTATTGTCTCTTATTTGATGGTAAACAGTTTTTAAAGTCATTAAAAATGCTGAGGCAGTCTCTCTCTCTCTCTCTCTCTCTCTCTCTCAACTGCATATATTTTTTGTGGAGGTTTCTACGTCCTTAGTAAGCCACAATCCATCAACTGATAGTCCTTCAGAACACCTTTCTTTTGCCCATAATCTTCAGTATCTACCTTTGGATTCTGTCTGACAGAAATTGTCCTTTTTCCATTCACTGAATTCTTTCCAAGGTATTTGTAGTAGTGTGGGCCAATCTCAAGGTACTCACCCAAAGGCTGCTACACTAAACAGATGCTACTAACACAGAGAGGTCCATTAGTAAGCCATCTCTTCCATCCCACCTCTTGAGATCAGGGTGACTGAATCTAAAAGCCCTGTCTTAGGAAGATTCCTTATCTGATGTTGCCTCAAAGCAGTTCTGCCATCTTGCCACCACCCTTTAATTATTTGGAATACTATCTGCAGCCTATTAAGTATGGCTTAATCTGATGCAATCACAGAAAAGGTGATTTTTATATGCATATTACTGTTCCTTTTAATTACTTCAGGTCGTTTCACCTAACTGTTCTCTATATCATGATTACTTATGTTTAATAACTACTTTTGGCAGCGCTTTTAAGTGTGAGCACTGCCTTTTTGCTATCTTTGTTCTATGAATGCGTTATGTATTAATTTTATTTTCAAGTTTGTAACATACCCATTTTTGGAGTGAGAATCATTCATAAAGCTTTGGTCTTAACTATCTTGAGCAATTTAGTATCATCTGCAAACTTTGCCACCTCGCTGTTTACCCCTTTCTCCAGATCATTTATGAATAAGATTGGTCCTAGGACTGACCCTTGGGGAACACCACTAGTTACCCCTCTCCATTCTGAAAATTTACCATTTATTCCTAACCTCTGTTCCCTGTCTTTTAACCAGTTCTCAATCCATGAAAGTATCTTCCCTCTTGTCCCATGACAACTTAATTTACATTAGAGCCTTTGGTAAGGGACCTTGTCAAAGGCTTTCTGGAAATCCTACACTATGTCCACTGGATCCCCCTTGTCCACATGTTTGTTGACCCCTTCAACGAACTCTAATAGATTAGTAAGACATGATTTCCCTTTACAGAAACCATATTGACTTTTGCCCAACAATTTATGTTCTTCTATGTGTCTGACAATTTTATTCTTTACTATGGTTTCAACTAATTTGCCTGGCACGGACATTAGACTTACTAGTCTGTAATTGCCAGGATCACCTCTAGAGCCCTGTAACAGGATCCATGACCCACCCCTCTTCCTGGGACCCGCTTGCTGCCCCAATAAGGCTCAGATAGGCTTCAGGGTTGTGCAGCACCTGTATCTTTATTTACATAAGGTTCTCCCACCACCAGCGTCTATCTGTATACAAGCCCTGCAGGATTAGTCACATCCTTTACAGGCAGAGTCAGCCTTCAGCTAGGAGGCCTCCAGTTCCCTCCCTCCCTCCCTCCCTGACTGACTGACTGACTGACTGACTTCTCTCTGGCTTTCCCCCGGGGCATCTGGCTCCCTCCCAGCCTTTATAGCCCTTGGCTTGTCAGGCCAGCAGGTGTTGCCAATCCTCAGGCCAGCATCAGGCCTTTTCCATCAGCCCCAATCTGTTTCCCCTGATTGGAGCTGACTGGACAGAGGCTTATTAGGTGCTTTTGCACCAGCACCCTGCAAAAAGCCCTTTTTAAATATTGGCGTTACATTAGCTATCTTCCAGTCATTCCAGGTCAGGTTTTCTAAACCTTTTATCATCTTTGTTTCTGTCCTCTGGACTCTCTCCAATTTGTCTACATCTTTCCTAAAGTGTGGGGCCCATAATTGGACACAGTACTGCAGCTGAGGTCTCACCAGTGCCTAGTAGAGCAGGACAATAACCTCCCATAACTTACATACGACACTACTTGTTAATATATACCCCAGAATTATATATTTTTTTCACAGCTGCATCATATTGTTGTCTCATATTCAGCTTGTGATCCACTATAACTCCCTGGTCCTTTTCAGCAGTACTACCACCTAGTCTAGATTATGAAAATCCCAGTATGAAATCACAGTGAAATATCTGGAGCAGGGGTAGGCAACCTATGGCACGCGTGCTGATTTTCAGTGGCACTCATACTGCCCGGCTCCTGGCCACTGGTCCGGGGGGCTCTGCACTTTAATTTAATTTTAAATGACTCTTCTTAACATTTTTAAAACCTTATTTACTTTACATACAACAATAGTTTAGTTATATATTATAGACTTATAGAAAGAGACCTTTTAAAAATGTTAAAATGTATTACTGGCACGCGAAACCTTAAATTAGAGTGAATAAATGAAGACTTGGCACATCACTTCTGAAAGGTTACTGACCCCTGATCTAGAGGATAACAAGCTTGTTAAGGCTCCCTAAAGAGTTACAAAATGTGATAGTTTTAAATTATCTTGAAACAGATCTAAATATTTAACGAAAAAGTGTGATTCTATAACATGTCTTGTGATTTTTGTAACTTATGTTCTCACATTTGCCAGTAGTATTTACTATAATTAAGAAATTGACTATATCATTTGTTTGTGGTATTTCAAATGTAAAGAATTGCCTCCAGGGCACTATTTTATTGGTTTTACATTCCTTCCTGCTCTGTTAAATCTAATGAGGTTTATCTGTCCTTTAGGTGACCTACAAGTGGGATCTGTATGCTGCTGAATCAGTTATTAAGGGTATGTGTTTGTCTTTGTGACCATCAGTTGTATAATTCTCAAATCAAACCCAGAATTTAGTCTGACACTGTTTTAAATTTATCACCAGAAGAAACAATAACCATACAACTGCTTTGGTTAGTTCTTTTAAAAATACCAACTTTATGTTATTTATTATTTATATCGTTGTAATGTTTGTATATATTTTACTCATATGTGTAAAGATTAAAGAATATTTAGACTATAAAGAAAATGTGGAATATTTGTGATTTAGAGGTGAAAATGTTGTAAAAAGATATGGCTATTTATTATACTAACAAGACAGTTAATTTATAACCGTTCTATATTGAGTACACACAAAGGTCAGTTTAAAATTTATGCAATTTTGGCACATATTTTTGTATATTTAGTGCTTTATACTGTACAGACTTATTCCAAAACATTATTCGTAATACAAATTGCCCTGGTTGACTCTTCTACGATTACTGTATTTTTCCCCCTCTTTCTTGCCACTAATATTTAAAGAGAAACTGACAGGTAACATTTAGTGAAACTCAGATTTTGTAAAAACAAGAATTTGAAAAATCTAAGTCCATTAGGAATGGTTCCACAAATTTTGTTTAAAAGTGTGTTTTTGAAAAACAAATAACAATGTTTGGTTTATGGGTAAAATACTGCTGCACTGTATTAGTGCATGAGAACTCTAACGTGAAATTAACTGGAATTTGTGACCTGGTAAAATCAGGAAGAAGATCAGATAATATAACTTGATAACAATACTCCTTTTAATTCCTGTATTTGGCTAGGTATTATGTTTATGCTTATACCATAAATTCAGAGATAGAAAGTAATAAAAATGAGGTTTCTATGCTAACAAAAATGCAAAAATTAACCAGATGATATAATACTGAAAAGTAATTAGATTTTTTTTTTCAGTTTGAATAATATAGGTCCAAATCCCACAAGCCCTTGTGCATGTGCTTAACTTTAAGTACATGAGTATGCTCACAGACTTTAGCAGGAGTTCTCATATGCTTGCAGTTAAGAACATGTGTGTTTGGGGGATCAAAGTTAAACTGGGGCAATAAACTGGTAACAGAACAGTAGTTAAGGATTATATAATCAGTGATCACATCTTCAGCTGGCATAAGGTGGCAGAGTTTCATTGATGTGAATGGAGCTATGCCAATTTATGCCAGCTGAGAAGCTAGCCACAGACAGGTCCAAGCCCTCCATGAGAGGAATTCACATTAAAATCAATAGAGTGTGTATAGTACGGGGCTCGTGATTTTTACCTTAACATGTTTTGTTTTGATACTGAATTTATAAATGTCCACTTAACAAAGCACCATTTTATTTTGTCACTCAAACTTGTTGAGCCCACCCAAGGCTGATCTGCGTGCTCAAACTGACATAAATTATTTAAGTGCTTAGACATGCCAAGAGTAACTTAGCTGAACTAGATTTACATAAACAATACAAACAGTCCAAAACCGTACTTAATTTAATAGGCTGACCATATCTTGGCTAAAGGATCAATATTTAGTTTTAAAAACCCACCCATACCCAAGTCTCTATATATGTTTTTCTCATTTTCCACTCCTCCTGCACCATTTCACCCTTAACTATCCCATCTATCACAAACGTAAATGGCAATTTATCCAGTAACTATTACCTTAAATTATTTCTTCATTTTTACTGCCTTCATTTTTACTGCCTTTAACATAATTTTAAAGTGACCTATGCTTTATTTTTTGCATTGCACATGTAGGGCTCTCATGTTGTACTGCATCAATGGGGTTACTTTTGTGACTAAGAGCTACTAGTTTGAGTGAGGGTTTTCAGGATCTACCAATGTTTTGTATGTTTCAAAGTTTTTTTAATACAGTTAAAAGTATAACCCTATTGAATTATAAAAGATAGCATTAATTTTCTTTCAGCGACTTTTGTGATGTTTTGTGATTTATGGGTAAAGAATATTTAATAATTTTGTGCTAAATCATGGCTTTACCATAAGCCCAGAGTAAGAGGCAGCACACTGTTGAGCAACCCAGAAGGAGACTATGATTTTCTGTGGTTTCTCCATTTTCTGTGGCTCTTCTGGGAGGGAGCAAACTGCACCTGATCCAGATCCAGTGCAACGCACACCACCTGACACACTGGTGCAGCTTTGCTGTCATGTACATCAGGGACGGGAGCCTCTTATGGTGTAGTGGCTCTTCAGAGCCTGTTTCCCCTTTCCTGCTGCTACTCAAGCTACAGGTAGTTGGTGCCTCCTTAGTCCTTTAGGCCCCTGTTCAAAACAGGCCAACATTTACGTACACACTAAAAGTTCTGTAGTGCACGTTGTCTATCACAGATGACATCCTTGACCTTTAAGCAATACTAATGCTTTTCTTTTAACTCAGGCAGTAAGGAAATCCATTTAAGTTACAGCATTTAATCCATTTAAGTTAAATTATGTGCGTTCTGATGAGAATAATTTGGAGAAGTCTTCACTTTCTGACTACAGATGGTATCTTTTTGCTTTGAGTTATAATCTTGGATAAACAAATCTTTAAAGAGTTTATTCTTTATGAGCCAAAATGTCAAATTTATAGTTATGGCTGTGCACAGCTTGGCTAAGGAATAGTTTTCTTTTTACTACCTTTTTCCAGTGATGGTCTCATGGACTTTCTGAACAATGACTTATTTTGCTATTTTATTTATTACAGGATACTCTTGCATTTCTATCATTTTTCTTTGATTAATTGCCTAATTGTAATTTAATATAATTAAATAAAAGAAAAATTGTTGTAAAGATAAGTACTTGGCTGTAGAATAGTGTGTGAAAGAAGTCACAATTCATCATCTGACAGTAATTAGGTGACTTATTCCTTAGTCATCCACATTACAAATGTAATTCTACCTATGCAAGAAAAGCTAACAAGTCCCAAATGCTTCAGAAGAGCAGAACTAGGTTTTCAGCTGCTGGCTAAATGAGACCTGATGATAGACAAATTCCAGCCCACTAAACTGAACTCTGATGTAGGTAAGGACAACACAAATATAACTTTCATTTTCAGTGCAGTGCAATATATAAACAGCTTCATGAGTCACTATCTTCTGAAACTGTTTTCTTAAAACATACTTATTTATTTTCTCACTTCCTTAAGTCACAAAACCCCAGCACCATTCATTTTATAAACAGTAACAATGCTTTTCTTTAGTTCAGCAGGTATGAACTTGCAGAGTATGCAGACAAGGTGGCACATGTCTGTTTTTTAATTGCCTATCAGTAAGGAAACCTCGTCTTGTAGTCAGGCTGACTCATTTGGAAATGAGATCTGGATAATACAAAATATCCTAAAAAATCTCTATTAGGACTACTGCCCCTAGGGTAAGTATCTTTGAACTCGAGTTCAAACATGTAAACTTTAAGTAGCTTATCAACAAGAATTTTGTAATTTAGAGCCTGAACTTTTTTAATGAGCAGAGAGCCCTGCTTCTGTAACTACTTTAACATGCGTGCTTATCAATGTGCACATGCAGACTGGGCATTCTGCATGCATAGTTGGCTGGATAGACACCTGCTTATCCATGTGTGAGGACAAATCCCAATTTTGGAGGCAAGCACAAATGTAGTGACAGACTTTCAGCCTCAGTTTATGGAAATCAGGAATTCTATATTATATGGAGAGCGCATGTGAAAGGTTCTGAAAAACACTTCTGTGAGTTCCATGTTTATCAAAGGGCATATGTAGATGATGCAGGATTTTCAGTCAGGGCTAGGAAGGCAGTCTAGACCCTAACCAATGGCATGTTTCCACTATGTGGCAATGGGTGCCCATAATAATCAGTGCTGAATGGAAGTAAACTCTTCCTTCTCTTCCACTACAAATATTGCTCCCTCCCTTCTTTATATGCTAATGATAGTATGCACAGTGTTGAGTTTGATAGTTGTTTTTGTGTTTGTGTTTGTTCAGTGGGCAATCATAGGTTTGGTTAGGTTTGTTGTGTTCTATGAAGAACTATGGAGCTTTGAAGAAAGTTTATACCCACAGACTGGACACCTAATGGCGGTCAATCCCCACCCCCTCATCTCCCATGTCTGCACAGATAGAAATCCTTCTTCCATGAGAAAGTGATAGCTTGGAAGTTCTGCAGGATAAACCATATCAAGTTTCCAGAGTAGTTTATTGACTCTTGTATGCTTTTCTGTGGTAAGGGACAGTAGAACCATAAGACATTAGCTTGACATGTTGCAGCCACAGCATGGACATTCTGTTGAATTCACTGAAGAATTGAGGTAGAACACAGGTCAACTAAACTAAACAGGTGCTTATAAAGGACAAGCATTTCAGTGATGGCTTGAGGGGGCCATGTCATGCAAATATTTTACAAAAGGAAGTGTGTGTGTGTGTCTGTGTGTAATTAAAAAAATGTTATGCTTAAAAGCTGACGACTGCTGTTTGCAATTAATTTTCTAGGACCTTGATAAGGTATTAATCTCCGTTCAGGTAATGAAGCCAAAAAAAAAAAACCTTATAGATTTTTTTGTTTGTTTGTAGATTTGCAAGAATCTGACTAGTTTTTTTACCAACTTTACCTTTATGCTTGACTTAGGCATTGTTCAAATGATAGCATGCTGTGGGTTGTGTGTGTATACATAATAATATATATATACATGCACACATTTAATTTAAAAGATTGGGTATAATCCTAGAGAGGAGGCGATGAGAGATGTCACTGAATAATCTGATTTGAAGCATTCTATGGATTACAGTACCTCAGCACAAAGCGGTCCAGTTAAGAACGAAGTCTCAGTTTTAACCTAGATTTTTTTGCTTTTGTAGATTTCTTGACTTCGTAGATTATTTAATTTTTCCCTCCTTTTTAATTTTTCAGACTTCAGATACCTCAGTCTGCAGGCTATAATTTCCATAATTTTTTCACACTTTCCTAAACACTTCACAAGATGTTCTTTCAAGTTTCTGAAAGCATCATTTTTTAGTGAAAACAGATTTCATATATTTTCACAG